ACACCGATTGAAAATGTCAAAAGACTTATTCAATTACAGATAGATTCGTTAAGTCAGTTAATTGTTGTTTGCTATCAATTTTTTTAAAGCTTCAACCTTCACTAATTTGATTACTGAATATAATGAAACGTTGGTAAAACTCCGGGTTTTAAAAAAACGTAAGAGAAGAATTTATCAACTGGGAAATGTCATCAAAATTATATTAAATTAACAATGATGGGCTTAAAGTTTTATGGAGGAGTAAGGTTTTTAGTAATTTCCTCCAAACTAATGGTAAATCATGTCAGTTTTTAAAAATCATAATACTTAAAATTACCAAACAAAAATGTTCAAGGGTCTTTGCTTTAGATGTTCAACTAACTACCATTTTTCAGTAGAAATATACAATGTTCTCTACTTTTAAACAGAAATAACTAGTTAAAAGGCTATTTTTTTGTGGTTGAAGTGTGGATCTCCTCAAAAAGTTGCGTTAAGTGTTCTGAACCCTAGCTAAAAAATGCGTAGCTTGGTGAAAGCAGCAATATGAGTGGTCGGAAGCCTATATTCGGACCTTGTAACAAAAACTTAGAAAATTGGCATGGGAAGAGGCTTTTTTCAAAAAGTCAAATCTGTATCTCTTCAATGCACGGTCTGAACAGAGTCGTGCCACATATCAAAATGCTTCTCTCAACCAGTTCATCACTTTTGTACTGAAGTCTAATGACTATAGAACCTCAAGTTTACGAGATGAATTTTTCAGACTTTTGTCCGAGATTTGAAAGATTTATTTTTTTTGTATTTTGATTAACGAATTGTCCAACAATCGCCTACAAAATGGTTCATTATGCTCTCCTTTTTCTAGCAACTTGACGAGTGAAGCATTAAGAGGTAGATCACTTAATTTACAAACAGTTTGTAATTAAAAACACCAAATGAAAGCTATTAAATGTCAATCTGAGTTTCAAGTTTAATTTTTTATACACAACAAACCAAATTAAAATCAAAAAAACTTAATCACAGTTTCAAAGTTAAATAAGATCTAAATACTCCGGAGCTTTTTCTAGCGTTGTTAGCTTTCGCTTTTTCTTTGGTGCATGGCGTAGAGAAGGAGTCAAGTTTTCCATGTTATTTTTCACAGTCGCTTCGGGGGTGCGCGTTGGAGTTGAAGGGTTTGTTTCATCAAGCTATGGTGACACTGTAGGAGAAGGATCAGTTTTCGGGGTAACTATTAATGGTGACTCAATATATTGCATTTCCCATAAACGATTAAAAAGTTCAGTTTCTTCAAAGTATTGTAACTGGTTTTCCCACATCAGAGTAACATCGCAATCGTATTTATACAAAATTTTTTTTTACTGGTTTTGATAAAGTTGAAATGTCAATTTGAAGAGCAAGAGACTCTTCAGGATCCGGATGTTTACCAGAATTTGTGAGGTAACTCAAATACTTCATATTCAGTTTTTCGTCTTCCTTTGACATTTTTAAATAAAATTTACTGAATAAATGTAATAAATTTCAGGAATCATAATGTGATTTATTTAAGTCCACTCATCAGAAGTAAAACTTTTTTCTTCGTTAATTATTACAACAAAATTACCGTAAACGGTTTCATAAAAAATGATTCTTTCGTGATTGGAATATCCGGCAATAATATAACAAGGCATTTTTTGAAGAAAAATTAGAAGAAAATAACGCGGAAAGAAAAGAAAATGAAATGAATTGTGAAAATTTATGGAGTTTCTTATCAGTATACAAAGGGAGGGTGCGTAAGTTCTTTATGTTGCATTGCACGGTATTCCTTTTATATCTAATTTTCTTTCAACCAAATGGCTACTTTGAAACACTACCTTAACTATTGTGACCTTTGACGGCCATTAAATTGCTTATCAGTTGCACATGCTCAAAATACTAATCAACTTGAACCAAGTTGCAATTAAATACGTTTGCAAAAGTAAGTACATGTGTGTTTATGTTAAAATAGATACAACGCTTTCTTTTGCAAAGCAATACAATCAATTCAAACCATTTCATATTATTCAATTTTAAAATCAATTTACTTGGAAACTTTGCTCGTTATAATGAAAAAAACAAAAACAAACACCACAGTAACTGCAGATAAACAATTTGGTGATTGCAATTTCGATATTTCGGAAAACAGTAAAAGATTAGTGCGTGCTACATTGAAAACATATGGCCAAACTGGAACTTATGTGTTCTTGAAAGTTTTCAAAAAAGCAACAGAAGACGCTGAATTTGAATTTGTACAACAACTTTACTTAACCAACGAAGAATTTTTGAGTTTACTAAAATCGAAAAACCAATCCGAGCGCAAACAAGTGAAATTTTTGATACTGCTGAAAACAAAGACAAACCACAGCCTAATTGTAAACGTGCCAGGGAATCTCAACTTTCCTCAAACACAAACGAATTCAAGCACGACTCGAATTAATTTTTCTTCACAAAATGGCAGAAGCTATGTTCGAAGTTGTTTTACCTGATTTTTATGCAAAAAATTTCAACCAAATTTCAAATTTGTTTTCACTGAAAAAGTTCTTAATTTATCAACTTTCAAAGTTATGCTTTTGGAAGCCACTCAAAATCTGAGTATTGCCCTTTTTCAGTTGAAATTGAAAAAAAATCTCACTAACACGTATTCATTCAGTAGATTCAGAGGAACAATTAAACCAATTTTTTTCTTCCCAAACACGTTTCAGTGTTCCTTCTGTTTTCACTTGTTTCAAATACTTTTACTGTGATTGATTTTATTTTTATTTGATCTTGTGTGAAAACTAATTGATAACATGCCGTGTTTGAAAACTTAAAATTTCAAAAAATGTTTTTGACAAAAGAAAACACACAAAATATGAATTTAACAGGTGAGAATTTACCAAAAGAGTTTTTAGACGAAATCAAAACTGAAAACGTAGAAAAAATTGTTCGGATACATATGACAGACCATAGCAAGATATATAATAAAATACAAACCAAACGGCAGTCGGTCAGAGAGAAAAAATTGATTGGTATGCAGTTGTAATTATCAATCTTGATACAAAAAAGCAAAACAAAATCTTCTAGTAAACATGGAAATTGAAGAAACCACCACTATCGAGAACATTGATAAC